TTGTGATAAAAGCTCTAAAGATTTTCGATGTCTATCTAGCTTGGCAATAAAAAAGGCATCTATTAAAGGAAATCTTCAGTCGTATCCTTATTTGCTACCTGGTCACCAAATTTGTAGTCTTCATTATACAGCTATTGTTGAAAATCAGTTACCTACACCTGCGCCTGCACAAAATGAGTCCTATAATGAAGTATCTACTCCAACATTACCAATTAACCTATCACTAGGTGATCAAATTAAAAAAATGACAAGTGTTTTATATACAAAAAGATATGATAATGTAATACTTGACTCTAATGAGTTTGATAAAATGCTTGTAGAGGCTGACCCGGATCTGAAAAATTTTTTTGCTGATATGTGTGCTATGTTAATACCACAGGACTGCTCGCCTTATAATAAAAAAGAAGATAAGAAAAGATCGTTGCAATCTTATACTTAATGGCGGGGATATGTAATAAGCATGTTGATAATTTCAAACTGGAGCTTGCTTTGTATCTTGCAGGTTCTGGTGCAACTTGCGATACAATTAATACTTTAAGCAATACTGGAATTTTGGTTACCTATCAAACAGTATATAACTACAAAAAAAAAATTGCTGGCAAACATCCAATAAGGGTAAAAAAATATTTTAATGACAATAAAAACCTTTTTTGCATATACAACCTGGATGATTATCATAACATCCATGAAAATCGACGTCCAGATAATACATCTCTTTCGGGTGCAGTTCATCTAGCAACATGTGTATGCAAAAAGGTTGAAAGGTCAAATCCTGTGCCAGTTATATTTAATAATAAGTCTGTTCATAATCTAAATAATATCAATGCATCTATTATTTGTGAAAGGCTTATTAACCGATACCAGTATTGCTTCAATTTGTCATATTCTCAACGGATGGCTCAATGGAATAGCTTGTCTTTTCCTAACTTTGATAGAATAGATCAGCTTTCAATACATTTTTATGATAATGCTATTGAAGAACGAAAAGACGAACACAAAATGAAAGGTGCAATCTTATCAGGAGTAAAGGAACAACAGCTACATTCCATGCAAGATTATCTAAATGCACTTAATATTATCTTAGACTATAATAAAGAAATAGGTTATCTTGATAGTAATGTAGCGCCAATTGTTGCTAACTAGCCAGGTCAGCGTTATATTCGTCAAGTGCTTACTCATTTTCATAACAAAAATAATACTTCAATACCAAAAGAAATAGTATCATTTGTTCCTTTACTTGGGCCCTTGCACGTCGCACTTAACACAAAAGAGCAAGTAATGAAAATTTATTACCTATTTTTTAAAAAGCTCTTCCATTTTGTATTTGGAGAACGAAAAGTTCTGGCAAAAAAACCTAGACCATGGAGAACAAATCTTCTGCTTGAGTTGGCGTTTACTGCATGGGTCGAAATTAAAGAGCATATTGTAAGAAAGTTTATTTTTCTTCGAAAAAATATCGAGTATTAGGTTATTATAGAATTGTTGTACCTGCTTTTCTCGATATATATGCTCTGTTGTTTCGATCCGGATCATTTGATAACTATGTGGAAACAATTTTCCGTATATGGACATTCACCTTGCGATGGCATCACAAAAAAATATAACAAAGCTCTATTGGCATTTTTGTCAGATTTATTCTATTGGGAAAAAATCAAACATCCAATTAGAGAAGTAATCGAAAAAAATTTAGTTCAGTTTAACGATTATTGGGTGGAGAATATGCATAGTAGGATATGAGCTACAACATCTCCAAAAGATACTGCTGATAATATACAAAAACAGGCTTATCTTTTGGATTTTCATAAATATTCGGCTTTCTGTGAGATGTTTTCGACTACAAAACGATATCCATATTTACCACGGGACCTAAAATTTTTAACTACTAAAACCTGTATTTTTCTTATTTCACAATTTCAAGAAATTTACAGAAAAAATGAGGAAACTATTTTAATCAGCAACCAAATTCCATCTCCATTAAAGCGATAAAAAAAAAAAGAATTACCTACCTTATATAACCTTCCTACTCTAGGTGAAATAGAAATAACTAGCATGCCAACCGGATATAGTACATCGTTCCCTCCTTTGTTCAATAATTGTGATCATTGTTATAAAACATTAACTATAAATGATCAAACAATTATTCTAATATGTGGGCATGGGTTTCACCTAGAGTGCTATAATGGGATAGAAAAAAAATGCAGATATTGTTTAAATTACTACAAAAACGGTATATGGAAAAATGTTAATGCATTTTTAAAAGGTCTAAATTCTGAAAAAAATTTTGATGAAGATTTGGATGACGATCAAGAAGATACCGAAGAAGATAATGATAATGTAGAAGAAACAGAAATCAATCAGTTAAACAGGCAGGAAACCATAGAATTAGAATTGTTTAGTAAAATTAGTGAAATTGATAACTGGTAAAAAAAAAAAAAAAAAATACATGTAAACTTTTGAAATTCAAAAAGATCTGGTAAGTTTGAGAAATGCGTTATTGAGTATAGTAAAACTTATGCCAGGCTTGAGTGTTTGTTTGAGGTACGATGTCGGTCAGGTTATTCTAATTTTCTAGTAGGTATAAAATGGAAGGCTAAGTATACGTTCGGCTTCTTAGTTTCAAATAGTATAAGTAGACTTTAGTTGAACATAAAAAGCCCTGTTTTTTAAAAAATAACGGCATAGTAAAACTTTTTATTGAATCTGATTATACCAGATTAAATCTAAAGGTAGGTAGACGAACTTCCAAGAAGGTTGTGAAGTTTCGTGGACGATTAATATGCAATGTAACTTACTTTGCATATAAGCAAAAATGGACTTTTTCTTATTTAAGCATTATAAAAAAAATTTTGTCGATCAGCCAATCAAATGGATTTTTAATCATGCTACTTATCCATACAAAAAAATATGAATGTGAAATGACTACTGGGGTGTACAAAATACAAACAAATTATATGATTCTGTTGTAGATGCTAATATGGCCCTCAGATCCAGAACGAAAAATTTGTAAGCGAATGCTTAGTCACAACCAAAAAAATATTCTTACCTTTAAATTACGTAATGTCTTATTCGGAACTTTCGTTAATTTCACAAGCACTACTCCATACGGCGTCATATTGGCTATATTGTGAGCAGGCGTTCTTTTATTTGTAGTTTATTGTGAAATTTTTCTTGTAAGTTCCCAGTTAGGTGTCATGTGCCGTTACCAACTAGATAAAGGACACGGAAAGTTCACATATAAAGGTATCAACGAGTTGAATATAACCACATGATTTATATATGAACCTAATGCTAGAGATAATCTATCTCAGATCATATAGATTAAATAGTATTGGTTAAAATAGGTCCTTTTTTAAATATGTATGTCGATGATAATAATAAAGAACTAATAAATCTTAAAAAGCCCGATATAAGGTGTTGGTTATAAAAAGCAATTCTTGAAGCATTGAGTTTTTAATTTTTTATAATGAAAATGTATTTTGCTACGCGCAGTTTAGTATTACGCAATAGATGTATGTTGCAAAATGAAACTTGTAAAAATTTATTACATGATATACAGTATATCACAAAATTCTTCTAGTATTAAACTTGCTTTGGTGAAAACTAAGGTTTCACTTGCATCAAATTATAACACTAGTATATAGTATTGAAAAAAATTTATATCGGTATAAAACAGATTTAAGCATTATTCGACCTATTGATTAGGGAGGGAACTTGAAAATATCTTTAGTAAACAAATAATAAATGCCTATTCTGAAAAGCTATCGCTATTTGACTTGAAATGTTGCTTAATACCTGTTTGCCTCAACGAATGCGAATAATTTATACGTAGAACAAAATTTGTATATTTCACCCTATTGATATTAGGATGCAAATATTTTACTAATTCACGAATTTCGGATAAATACTTGGTTATTGACTTTTAGAACAGCGATTTGTCGATTTTTTTCTTTGCTTAATATATATCTCTAGTATCCGCTCAAAGAATTCACAGGCCAAAAAATAAAGGTTTATCTTATCATAATCATTAAGAAATTTCAGAAAATACTTTCTTTTTGCTTTATACGTGTTATATGTAATCGATTAAAGCTACTTTATAATTTAATATAAATATAGTATTTAATTGAAGACTAAATTGGTGTCCGCCAATAAATTTTAAAATAGTTTGAAAATTATATTGCGTCATGGTCAAAAAGTTCACACTAATCGTCAAAAATCGATCGGTGTCGGTACTGATTGACTTACTAGAAACATGTTTAAGAATTAGTTTAATCGATTTTATAAATGCATTGTGACTCGATAAATTAGATGCTTAATATAGAATGACCAATTAACGTTAAGATATAGATATAATAAATCGATCTCCAAGAAATAATAAAGTCATGATCGATTTGATTCTTGAACCATCCGTTACACAATGTGAGTCACTGTACATTAAAGTACAATTTTAAGGACAAATGTTTTGAGAGATAATATTCTTACCTGGTTTAGGGGGTTTTTGAAAATTCAAAAGCCGACTGGTGTAAATAGCCTGCGGATGTGTCCGATAATTGATTCTTGCTGAGTTGACACGATTATATGTTGAAGAACTTTTTCCCGAGTCTTCAATTTCTTTAACTTGTTTATATAATTCGTTTTTTTTATTTTTTAAATCACTATAAAATTGGTTCAACTTCTTAGACAATTCTTCAGCAGTTGGTCTGTTATAAGGTTCAGCATCTAAACATTTATTCATTAAATCCAAAAGTAGCTGAGGAACATTACATTCGATTTTTGGTCTATAGCCTTGACAAATAGATTGTACTAGTTGATAATCATGTGAAATATCATAATATGGAGGATATCCAGTAAAAACTTCTGACATAATCATTCCGAAAGAATAAATATCTGATTTTTGAGTGTATTCCTTTCCATTTGTATATAATACTTCTGGTGCAATATAGGGAAGTAC